ATATATATAATTTCAGTTCGTCGGGCTAGGCCTGGAGGCAAGTTCCTTCCCTCTCCTCTAACCTCTATTCTAACTCATTAATTGTAATTAATGCAAGTTAAGCAGCAATTTGATTGGCGGCAAAAGTGAAAAGCTTAAAATAATCACCCATCTTCCTCCGTAGTCCGTACTATACGACCCTGTCCATCATCGTCCCTTCACTGCCTCCATTCTTCTCAAAAAAGTTGCCTCACTTCTCTTCTTCTGCATCTGCCCTACACGCTCTCCGACCTCCGCTGTCTTCTCTAATGGCGTCTTCTCCCTCTTCAGGTCATCTCTCCCTTGCCTTTCATTATTTTCCATTGTTTAATCGCTTCTTCCTTCTCACTTTTCAGATCCTTTCTGTACCTAACCGCTTTTTTGGTGTACAGCGATGTACCCTTTTGACCCTGCCTTCACCGGAGATCTGCAACATTTCAAGGGTAATACTAATATCAGCATCCGTACAACAGCTCTCTTTACTTAGTTGAGTTTTTTCTTCGTACTCTGCTTAACTTGTGTATTTTGGAATGACGAGGCAGATCTGTTGTATGACCCTCGGATGAAAGAAGGTATGACGAAAAATTATCTGATTCGGATGGTGGATTTTGACGGTCTAACTGCTTTACACTATGCGGCCATGGGAGGAAGAACTGAGATCTGCAAGTTTCTTGTGGAGGAAGTAAAACTCAACGTAGATCTGAAGGATCTGAGGAATGGTCGGACTCCCCTGCATCATGCTGTTTTGACGGAGCGTATTCCCACGGCTGCTTATCTTCTTGAGAATGGTGCAAATCCGAATGCTGGAACTAAGTATAAAGGACGTACGGCATTGCATTATGCTGCAGATAAAGGTATTCAATCAAGCAGATAATAAACTGTAAATTTCCTTCTTTTTAATTGTTTGTGAGAAAGGGATTTGAAAGAGGATTTTTATTTCGGGAATGAAATTCCTGCGAAATTACTAAATACTGAAGTAGCGTTTTCCCTTTTCTGTTTTAGATTTTGTAGTTGTTTTTTTCTTTTTATTATAATTACTTGTGGAGTATTGGGGCTATTTCAATCTATTAATTGTGCAAAAAATTCTGTTATTGTTCTTAATGTTGAGACTTCAGCTCTTAGTAAAACATCTAGGGATTTTTTTTCCCTTTTCTTCTCAAAGCCTTAGATAATTATGCAATAATTGCGTATGAATTGATATAGTTTCATGGTTATTTGAATGACTGTGCTGGAGGTTATTCTTCCTATGGATTGTTGTGGGTTTTTGTAATTTCCACTATTTCTTCCTTGTTTCATTTGTTTGGTTTTGAAGCATATCATTAAGTCCTATTTTGTTGGATTATTTCAGGACCTAAGGAACTGATAGAGCTCTTACTATCGAAAGGTGCGGATATCGATGCCATGGCTGATTGTGGCACACCATTGCAATATGCAGCAACTAGGCGCAAGAAGGATTCTGTAAAGGTTCTGTTGGATAACCATGCTGGTGTAAGAACAGGATACATTTAATATGTAATTTTAGTTAGAAATACCTAGCTTCAATGGTTTGGCAAAGCGGCTTCTGTGTCTCAGATCCATGGAGAATCCTTGAGCTCCTGTAATGATGCTGAATTATCATGAAATATAGTGTCCTGTATGGAAAAGAAAACTTTATTTATTTATTTATTTTTTTGTGTGTGTTGGTGGAGAAAAAGAAAAGTAATTTTCGCTCATTTTTCTTTTTCCTTTTTCTAACTTTTAATTTGTCTTGTTATTTGTTTCACTAACCACATATGTTTCATTCTTTTGTAGCCTAATGTGGTTTCGCATAATTTATCTTCCCCATTGCTGGCATCTATCCATGGTCTGTCAGTTGAATATGCTCCATCATTTGAATGCATAAAATTGTTGCTTAAGGTATAGCACTTGTACTCTTTATTAATGCATCAATGTGATACTTGACTTTCACTGTAGAACATTCATGTTTGAGGATGATATGGTTTCTTTTAAGGAATTGTGGATGTCAATTTTTGATCTATGAAATGTTCATGTCTTGGAATTTTCCAAACTTAAGGTTTAACATCACTATGTTAGTATGTTGATTCCTTTTGCTTCTTGAGGATATGCAATTTGTTGTACTAGTATAAACATCTACAAATAGGTTGCAAAAGAAATCTCTTCAGAGTTTATTATTTTACCTTATCTTATCACCACTTCTACTCTTTATCTTACGTTATGTATAGGCTGGAGCAGATCCAAACTTTCGTGGCTTGAGAGGAACTCCATTAGGATTTGCAGCTTCAGAAGGGGAGACAGAAGTTATTTTATACCTGTTGAATGCTGGAGCTAATCCAAATATTATTGATAATGTGAGTTGACACAAGTCCAAGACCTCAATTCTCATTAACCTTGAGTAGTTAGTGCTGTTTGGCTGATTTTATTTTTAGAAATTTAACACATTTACATCACAGTTAGGGATGAAACCAGTTGAAGTTGCAGCTCTAAGAGGTAATCGTAAGGGTGTCATGACTCTTTTTCCAGTGACTTCTCCCATTCCAACCATCTCAGATTGGAGCGTTGATGGACTGTTGGAGTATGTTCATTCTGATGAGGCTATAAAAGAGGTATTATAAGATTCATCTTTCTTCTGAGTGGGTGGGGATAAGGGTAGCAGGTGTCAAATGTAAAAAATGTTATTCAGAAGATGACTGAGCACAACAGAAATGCTAAACCAATTCTACTCTATTTTTTAAATGTTAAACAAAATCTACTCTATATTGTTCACTGTAGACGTTCTTTTTTACATTAGTTCATTTGATTGCAGAATGTATTTATGACAGTCATGGTAATAGGTCCTGTTCTATGCCCTAGCCACTGAGACTATTATTTATTGTGCTTGATAAATCTTGCAGAGGAAGGAGAAAAAAAAGGAGCAATTTTTGTTTTCAAAATCAAAGGGAGCCGAGGCTTTCAACATAAAGGATTACTTTGGGGCAATGCAGTGGTACACCGAGGTGCAGAGGCAACCATTTAATTTTGAGTTCTAATGGTTTTACTAATTAGACTATAAAAGTTTGTATGGATAATAATATTATGTGAATATGGGTAGGGGTCCAGGAATTCTTGGTCTGCTTTTCTTCTTAAATTCAAGTTTTATAATTTTCCTGGTACCCATTGGACATCCTCTCGGTATTACGCTTTTTGCAAATTCTGTGCCATGTACATCGCAAAGTGGGATGATTGCTTTTTGTGACATTTGTTGGTTAACTAAACACACCGTTATGCTAATATTTATAAAAACAAAAATTGTTTCAGCTTGTTAATTTTGTTCATTGGCAAAAAAAAAGCTTGTTGATTTGGTTGTTGGATGATGTTGCAGGCAATCAATTTTGAACCTACAGATGCTTCCGTATGGTCCAACCGAAGCTTGTGCTGGGCACACATGGATGATGGGGATTCTGCATTGTTAGATGCTGAAGAGTGCATCAAGCTGAAGCCTAATTGGCCAAAGGGATATTACAGGGCGGGTGCTGCAGAGATGCTGTTGGAAGTAAGCTTATTTCTGGAAGGTTCACAATGATTTTATGTTTAGGTTTTCTGGTCTGTGATATGCATGATACGTACTCCCAGGGCTTTGTGAGTGCTGCCGATACCTTTTATCGTGGTTGGAAGTTGAATCGTAAGAACAAGGAGCTTGAGCGTGCTTTTCGGTAGTACTTTGATTACAAGCTGTTGTTCTGTTTTAATGTCTTATTGCTTTTCTCTAATTATTAGTCTCTGGATATACATGAAGTGAAAATTTTATATTTTTAAAATAATTGTCCTCTCTAATCTTGATTTTCTGCTTCTATTCCTTTTGACGTTTTTCTTAACCATTGTGTTTCTGTGATAGGGAAGCTATCAAAGCCCAAAAGAAGAAGCTGCTTTCGATCCCCGATATTTGAAACTGCATAACTCATGCTCTTGGCTGATTGGCACCGACAGCACCACCCTATATGCAATCTGTTGAATGGAAACTTGCATGCCTAGAATTATAACTTAGTTTCTAAATATTGAGGACATTTTGTTATTCTCCTGTTGGTATTTTGCTTAATATTCTGCGATTTGCCAGTATGTTTCACTGTTACATGTATATGGTTCATGTCACTTGTACTGGCTCTGGTTCTAGGAAATCTTCTCTATACTGTGTGGAGATCTTTCTTTTGGTTATTTGTCTTGTATTTGCACTAAATTTTATTAGATGGGATATGTCCACTCTATTTTGGCATTTTACCCAATGCACCTCTTAAATTAATGCCAGATTTTCTAAGGACATTTTTTTTAAAATTTATTGAAATGTCTATGCAAAACTAATTTTATTTGAAAAGAAACTAATGAAAGTCAAAGTAGTACAGTTATATTTAGATTGTGTTTACACTATAATTAGCAAATTTTTTAGATAATGTTATGTCCGTGTAGAGATGAAGTGGTCATAAAATTTTCAGAGTCAATTGGAAGATACTTGTGTTTCCTCAAAAGTTCTCCTCTTCTTGGCTATTGCGTGGTAGAATAGTAGAAGCGGGTTACTTGCTTCACTCAAAGAAAAATGGATTTCTTTGACGATCCTCTTCTTCCAAGCAATTGACTCTCATGTGAGATAGTTGGAAGAATGTTAATCATGTATTGAAGATGTGTCTCAAGTCAGATCACATGATGTTGCAAGGAGGGATGCTTTCCTACAAATGAGTTAAAGATTTTGCCTTGGGTAGATCCAAGGATTTTTCGCATCTAGAGCTATAATAAAATTTGTTAGTTAAATAAAACAAGAAAAAAAAAAGAACTAGAAAAAAATAAAATTGCATTACAGAACTGAAAAGCAGATTTAAGCTAGAGTTAGTTAAAATTTTTGCCGTAACAAACAGTTTTCTTTGAGTAATTACTTGCAATTTTTAACTAAACAATTTGTAAAATGTAAATTGAGCACTTTGAGAATAACATGAAGCTTTATAACATAAAATAACAAGATTACATTAATTATAATGAAATCTATTTACAAAATTAAACTAATTGCATTGACAAAATTAAAATATGCTAACAAAACTAATAGAATTACCAATCTAGAAGAAAACCTATGAAGGTAAAGGGATAAATCCCAGAAAAAACAATTAAAACCTAAAACTAGAGAAATTGAGAGTTGATCTCCTAACTTAGAAACTAATTGAGAGGTTGATTAAGGCATTGCGCTAAGTAGATTGTGTAGTTTTTTGGTTGCGAGGGGCAAGTCTCGTTTGAATGGATTACTTCTTCATATTTGTAGCTGACGAATGCTTGAAAAATGACTTGTAACCACCCACAACTCAACTGCAAAAATGTGGTCAAAACTACCAACTCCAACTAGACATGTCAGCAGCGAACATAGTTCAAAACTGCTTCAGAATTCGCCACTTGTCTACCACTTCATCAGATTAACCTCCCATGTTCCAATTTGCTAGACTTGATCAGTAACTTCCCCTAAAATTTAATCATTATCTCACCCAAAATCAAATAATTATAGATTATTAGGAGATGGTTACCAGCAAACTTGACATCCTATGTAGCAGTCATTAGCAGGATTTGTCATTCTCTTGATCATAGGCAAATCAAATTTGAGATGTGTTAATAACAATCACTTGTTCAATCACATGACACATGGCATTATCTAATAATTTTATACATTGAGTGTATATTTTCCTCTTAAATTGAGTGTATATTATCTAATAATGTTTTCCTCTTAAATTGAGTGTATATTTTCCTGTTTATTTTTTAGACATTGACATAACTTGAGTCCTCACTTTCTGATGCCATGTATGTTAATATCCCTAAGTTTACCACCATGACTGAAGAATTGGTTTTGGATGACATTGCAGGTGATTGATGCTTTTCCGACTAATGCAGATGCACTATCCAGTCGAAGCTTTTGCTGGGCTCAATTGGAAACAGGTGATGGTGCACTAGAAGATGCTTTAAGTTGCATTAGGCTAAGACCTGACTGGCCAGAGGCTTACTACAGGGCGGGTGTCGCATGGATGTTATTGGAAGTAAGCTAGTTTGAAGCAGGTTAACTTTTATTTGATTAAATTTGTGCCTTGCTGTCCTTTTATCTAAGTTCCATTATACACAATGCTAGGATTTTGAGAAAGCTGCTGATGCATTTTATGATGGTTGGAAGTTGAATCTTGAAGATGAGGAGCTTGAACGTGCTTTTTGGTGAGAGTTCCTTTCCAAGCTTTGATTTTATCTGTAACTTGCTTACACCATAGAAAGTTGACAACTTGACAGGGAGTCTGGTAGTCAGAACTCTGTACATTTGTTCCTTGGTTTGAACAAGATGGGGTTTTAAAAACAGAAGCAATAATCTAATCTACTGATTTTGAATTTAAGCTTCTAACATCACATGCCTTTGTGTGATCAGACATTGAACGTGATGCCAATTTGGTATAATTTTCATGAAGAGTTGCTTCATTTTAGACTACAGGGATAATCTAAACTTGTTTCTATGTTCTGAATTCTGATTTAGTGTTTAGTAGTTTCTTTTGGTATAGCTGCAATCCATTTTCTCTTCACAATATTCTGCCATGTAATTAGTTGCTGGTAGCTAGTAGCTACAGGTCAATGTATTATATATAATCAAATGAAAAATTTATTAACTAACTACGTTCATGAAGTATGTCTATTGCCATGACAACTAGTCCTTAGAAGTAGGATCAATTCATCATTATGATTAAGCTTTTTGCAACTTGTCTAAATGATTACGTCCCATCTTCATTTTCCTTTGCTTGCTATTCTCTTCTTTCCAGATATGTATCCTCATCATATACTTCTCTATTTTCTTATGGCAGGGATGCAATTAAAGCGCTGCGTAACTAAGAACTCGAATATCATCCATCTCAAGGTGGGGGGATTTGAACACCTGTCTTGTGGGCAGGCGATAAGATGCACCTGCATTTGGGCTGGAATTCCGGATGCAATGCGAAACACTTATTAATAGTACTATTTCCAATGAGAAGTCTGCAATACCGGAATGGTATATATTAATGTGAAACCCTTATTAGCAGAAGTATTTCTTGGTTAGGTAAGTCTGCAATGCTTCATGCCTGAAATGGTATATTACTAGGTGCCACTTTCTTTTATTCTCTTGTTTGGTCTTGACTCGTGATGTGGTACCTAAGTATATACCATATTTGGAGATTGGAAGACTTTCTATCATGGGAAAGTGATAGGTGCCAGGCCATGTATGTGTTTGGTTGGATTAATACTTATATCTACCCCACTCCGTTTACATTTAGCAATAAATCAAGAAAAGAATATTTCATTTAAGCCGGTTTGTGCTAATTTATTGTCTAAACTGATTATAGATCAGTTTGCCATAGGTGACGAATTGGCACAATAATGCTTCGGCTACCATGATTCCCCTTCCTGTGACTTCTGTTTCTAAAATATATGAGAAACACGAAATTGGAAAGAAAGAAACAAGTCATAAAT